CATCTTAAGAGACCACTCCAAAGTATCCCCAAATGTGCTGAGTACAATTATGCTACGTATTTAGCATATTTATTGTAAGACAGAAAATAGTTTATGGCACAGATAAGAAGCTGGGAATGGGTGACAGGGGATGGATCATTTGATGATTACCTGGTCCGTTCATTCCCTCTGAAGCAGCTGGCATTGGCCACTGTCAGAAGACAGGACACTGGGCTAGATGGACCATTGGTCTGACCCAGTGTGGCTGTTCTTATGTTCTTAGATGTGTGGTAGGCCCCTGGGTGGTTGCTTACTGGAGGGATTACTCTATGTTGTTTTCTACAGATCTGGTAGCCCGGAGCATGAGTGCAGAAAGCATGAGGAAGGATGGTGCAGTGATTAGGCAATTAGCCTAGGACTTGAGAGATGGGGTGCCACTCCTTGCCCTACCACAGACTTTCTGTTTGACCTTGGGCAAGTCACTTAGCTGCTCTGTGCCAACCCGAGTGACCCACTTTCTAGAAATGGAAAGTTTTGTCAGTTATTGTCCTGCTTCAAGCCAATCTTTCTAGGGAAAGAATATTGGGAAGATGTATTGTGGGAAAATCTGATACTTAGCTTTGTCATGGAGTGAGTAGAGAAAGAAGCTTGGAGTCTTGGTACCTCAATTCTATTCCCTCTCTACCACTGACTTCCTACACAGCCTTAAGGAGATCATCTAATATGACAGTGTGTTGAAAAAGACATTCCCCCCTCATGAAATATTTTGAACTCAAAATTGTTCTTTGAAATCTTTCATGGGAAAAGTTTGATTTGAATTTTCAAGTTTGATTCAAATCAAACATTTCCCTTGATTCAGTTTTTGATTTTTTTTTTAAATTTCAAATTTTTGTTTTTGCCCTTCTCTCAATTTTCCGTTTTGACATTGAATGCGACACCATGAATAATGTCTAGTTTTTTTGGCCCCCATTTCCCGCTCCCACATGCTTTTTCCTTCTAATTTATCAAAACTTCTCCAACTTTTGAAAAGTTACATGGTGGCAAAAGGACAAATGAAACTGTAACCGTGCCACAGTTTTCAACAACCTGAAAAATGGCAGAGTGGCAAACCTGTAGTATAAAGGGCTTTGAGATCCTCATATAAAAGGCACTATCAAAGTCTCCCTTCAAGAAGCTGAACATATGGTCTCGATAGTGTTGTCTCCCACCCCATGTAGACTTAGGGTATGTCTACATTGTAATTAAAAACCTGCAGCTGGCCCAGGCCAACTGACTCAGGCTCGCAGGGCTCCGGCTAAAGGGCTGTTCAATTGCTGTGTAGACATTTGGGGTCAGGCTGGAGCCTGGGATCTAGGACTCTGTGAGGGGGAGGGTCCCAGAGCTCAGGCCTGAACGTTTACACCAAAACCAAACAGTACCTTAAGCCAGAGCCCCGTGAGCTCAAGTCAGCTAGCATGGGCCAAGCCATAGGTGTCTATCTGCAGTGTAGACATACCCTTAGGAGTGCCAGGCTAGCCACAAACCCAGATCACTTTCAGAGGTGGCA